TAAAATAGATTTTATGGCAAAATAGTAAACAGCACATACTCTAAAGCTTGCCATCAAATTATTCTTCAAAAGTTAGCCTCTGCATTCCAGAACGCCAAGCTCCTGGTCAAGCATGTTTTTCAACATACCAAAATATATCTCTTTTGATCGCATATTTCAATTTGTCACTCTTTGGAAACACTTCTGTTCAGCTCTCAACAATAAGGTGTCGTTCAAACTGGATCTCACCCCCAATCTAATGGCCAGACCAAGAGACTTTTCAGGAACTCTAGTCTACTCTCAGATGCTTAAAATCTACCCAACCCATTTGACTTCCTACCTTGGGTAGAGCAAGACCAATATTTCTGCAGCTACAGGTCAGTCTCCCTTCAAAATGTACTGGCCTATCAACCAATACTTTTTCCTACGGATGAGAAAAACACCTCCGCTACCTCTGTCCAACAGCATATCTACCACTGTAAGAAGGTTTGGCCTGACACTATTTCAGCTCTCCAACACACAGCTGAACAGATCCACCAATACACACACACAAACGGATTCCAGCACGGATGTAGTGTCTTGGGCAAAAGATTTGGCTCTCATCCCTTGACATTCCTTTGAGATCTATTTTCAAGAAACTCATCCCCTGTTATATTCCTCCATATAAATCTCTGGTCATCCTTCCCCGACTCCCCCATATTCACCTAATGTTCCATGTCTCCCAGATCAAACCTGTTCAGACCAGCACTCTGTGGCCTCCAGCCAATCCCTCCTCATCCACCCGGGACTTATAGGGGCACCCTGTCTGTTCAGTACGCAGGATCGTGTACTCCTATTGCTGGGTTCAGGGCTGGCAGTATCAGTCAACTTGGGGGGTCACAGTCCTGTTGACCGTTCTTGGATTTCTTGTTCTCTTCTATGTGATCTCTAATTTTGGAAGATCAACCCTCTCTGCCCTCTAGTTTATCCAGGCTGCCAGGTTGAGAGGGGAATTGATATCAGGGTCCCGGAGATTCTGTCTTTTCTTTTTTACCCTTTCTACCATATTCTCCTCCAAATGGCATAGAAGTGAGCATTGTGGCTGGACGGAAAAGCAGGTGGCTAACTTTTTCATAGTTTATTTCTATCTTATGAAAGTGTTCTGCATGTGTGTTAAATGTTTCCCTAAAGCCATGATAGCCTTTCTAAAATGTTATTTCAATAGTTTATTTTGCTTCGTAACTGTAATGATCTCAGGACCTTGGACCCAATATTCAAGTAGACACATCAGGACAGTTAACAAACAAGCTTTATTTAAAACATCAGACAGGAAATTCAGGTCAGTGACAATGTCGAGCTGATCACAACAAGGAGAAAAAGTCACTGGTTGAGAGTTCAGTCCAATTCAAGAGGAGAGGAGGAATCCCGGGGGAGATTGCCCACCGCTTGCTGCCGTAAACGCAAGCAGTGGACAAGCCGAACCCGAGGAGGCAACAGTGTCTGTAAGGGATAAAGTTCAAAGTTCAATCTAAACCAGGTTGACAGACTAGGAGATCTGAGAGCCGAAGAGGTACCAAGCAAGAATCCAAGCTGAGGTCAGTAACTCACTGAGTTCTTTGTTTCTATTGGCACGGTATAGTGTTAGCCCCTCCAGGCTAATAGCATTGCCCGGTATGACTGGATGAAGACAAAAGTTAGTCAGAATGATGCGCAGCAGTTACTTATCTCGTTTTTTGAAGGGAGTTTGATTCAGAGATGATCCATTTTGTTATCCTATGAGCGAATGTTGGAGAGCAGGACTGATGGTAGCGGTGGTCTGTGGGGATTCTTTCTTAGCTTTGCCATTTGCCCGACACTGCAGCTCAGTCTAAGTCAATAGGCAAGATCTGAGGTACACACAGCAGTCTGTCGCAGGGCAACACACAGACACAGAAAGACACATAACCATGCACACACACATTCATACCTGAAGGCAATTTTGAGAAGCTAATTAACCTAACAGTCATGTTTTTGGACTGTGAGAGGAAGCCAAAGTACCTGGAGAGAACCCACACATCCACAGGGAGAACATTCAAACGCCATGAAGCAGGACCACGGGCAAGGAATCAAACCCAGAACCTACTTGCTGCAAGGCTGTCAGGATTCCTGTCTGTGTGTTTTTTTATTTCTGTGTTTGTCTTCCTTCCTCCACCAGGAGGCGCATGGTTCTGGTCTGCCTCCTCACACACCTGCAGAGGGTTACCTCGTTACAGAGCGCTCTTAAGCTGCTGACTGCCACTACCTCGACGCCAGAGTGTTTGCCAGTTTAGGGTACTCTAGCCAAGCTGAGTTTTGCTGAGTCAAACTGAGTTCTTGTCAACCTGAGTCTTAATCTTGTTTTTTTGTCTTTGCCTCTCGACAGGAAGTCATCCTGCGAACTGGATGTTTCGGACCTTCTCTCCCTGGAAGGATCATCTGAGCTTCAAACTGAGCAGAGGATTTAAACTGGACGTTTGACTCTACTTTTCCTCAAGAAATCGTTTGAGCTTCACACTGAGCAAGGGATTCATCTCCACTACGACCCGTTCAAGTACCGCAGGAAATCTGAGTGGCAGTCAGCTTTTCCTTTAAACCTACAAACAACCGCATTCTGGGTAAACCCTTTGCGCCCTCTACCGAATCTGACAAACACTGGAACTACCGCACACAGACTGGAGTCAAAGAATTATTATTCTCTGGAAATGTGAGTCAGCAACCAATTTCTCCTCTTCAAATTCAAGAATCAAATTTCCTACTGAGCCTGAACTAACTGCTGTGCCTTCCCCTCACTTTTCAGTTCCGGTTGAGCATTGTTCAGAGCAACACTTGATTCTGCATTATCTCTTCAATAAACCTGTTAAACCTTCCCCCTGGTGTCTCTGAACTGGTTTCTCTGCATGTGGGTCTCTTGATAAAATCATGACAAAGGCAGCAGTGCTACCAACTGTTTCACTGTGCATCCAAGTTTAAAACTAGCATTAGTAAAATGAACTGATATCATACTAAACATGTGTTATGTCACCAAAAATTGCATAAAACAACAATATTGTTTATAATGTCCTTAATGCATGTAACATGGGTCTATCTACAAATGTTCAGTTAGTGTTGAGGGTTTTGTGTCTGGTTTGTCAGATACTTCCAGTTGAAGCCCCCTGTCCATTGTGTTGCAATATCGAGGTGTGGCGTTTAAAGCTAGGTTTACATAGGCAGTTTTTCAAAATAGGGGTTGATTTTGACAACAGGTCCCATGAGTGAATCCATGTTTTTTTTTGTCAATGGGAGAGTTCATGGTTAGTATTTTGTGGTAGTTTTCTTATTTTATGTTGTTATTCATTCTAAACTGCAATAACTTGTGTAATCTTTTAATAAGAAAAATGTCAAGATGTGGAAGTTTCCAACTGTTTTAGAGTTAGAAGAAAAGATGTACCAGCCTAAAGTGATTTTGTAACTTGTAACCAGAGGCAGGGTGCTGTTAACACCCTGAATCGTGATGTCCTTTTATAAATGGTCATCATTATATACATCAGGAAACCTGGTGGTAGAAACAAATTAATCAGGGGGACATCATTTTTTTTATCAGGGCATCCTTTATCAACAAACCATATTTTTGCTTCATGCTTAATAATGACTCTGTGACCGCTAGTACAGTTCAGAGAGAATAAAACTTATCAATAAAATCCCCCAAATCTAAAAAAACAATAAAAAAATAAAACAAATTATGTATTCCTTTAATTAACTTAAAAGTTAAACATGGACAAAAATATACCCATTTTTAAACTCAAGCACTGATGTCAGGCACTGTGAATGGAGTAAACACTCCTACTACGAGAGGTAACTACAGCAGCACCACCTGGGCAATGCATTGTTTTTCTATCCTCCATCAGGAAAACAATTCAGGAATATTGCATCAGAAACAAATAGACTCAATCCCAAAGCTGCAAAGGCAATCATCCACATGCTGGCAGACACTAAACATCTCTGCAGAAAATCCACTAAACCTCCAGCCCATTTCATAGACTATTTTAGCACAGGTTTCACTTTATGTAAATATTAAATGCTACAACCATTACCATATGTTCTTGTTTTACATTTTTAGACCTCCTCTAAGAATTCTATTTTTTCATATATTTCTAGAAGTGTTTTAACCAATATTGGAGTATTTTATGTGTGTTTTGAGTGTATATCTCTCACAAAATGCCATTAATGTGACATAATGACAAAAACAAAAAAGGGTCTTGATTTACCCAGAGAGAACAATGTTCCAAACAAAGTAGGCTGAGCAACAATACCCGATTCTGCTCCGTATTTTTCTTCACTGCTTCAGCTAATCCTCCAAGCATGCATGTTCACTAACCTCAAATCTTAAGAGTTTATAACAGAAATAAATGGCCACAGTGACCATAGCTGCTTCACTAACCCACCCTCTCTTTCTGTAGTCCACCAGCATCCACCTTGATTTGTTGATTGGATTGGTAGAATTGTATGATTAACAAATCAAAAATAGGAATAATAGAAAATTAGCCACATAAAAAGAGAGATAAAACAAAGCCTTTCCAGTCCAGGGTGGGCACAGCTTTCTATCTTAAAGGTTTTGCACCCCGTAGTTTTCCACAGTGAGCATTTGACTGAGGCTTTGGGAAAAGAACCATGTTGCAACACAGCTGTTAAAGAGCTTTGAAGCTTCAAACAAGCTTCAACTCACCATAATTAGATGTGTCCATATTGTGGATATGAATGTAGGCTATGAATATTATGGATATGAACGTAGATGGTGCTTTCCATCAACATTTTTAATTGAGTGTAATCCAGCTGTCATGCAGTTTTTTTTTATTGAATTGTGCCTTGAATTTAAAACATTTATTTGTAAAAAATTCGGTGATGGCAGTAGGTAAATGTTGCTACATGTGGTCCTTGAATTTGAAAATCCTGAAAAGTTTTGAGTTTGATTTTATCCAATGTCTAGGAAGTCTGAAAAAAAAAATAAAAAAAACCATCCACATGAAAATAGATAGTTAAATACAGGACACAATATTTTTATTCACCAATAAGAACACAAAGTTATCTACAATGACATTGACTCCAGCAGCCTTACAACAGTTAGAATACGCCTTCCTCTTTTTTTTTGTACATGAAAACTGAAAATACAAAGTTACAGGAAACATGCCATTTGATAAAAATATCTTTACAAAAAAATGTACATTTCTATACAACAGTTGTCACTTACACATCTCTACAGGTCCCACAATACTGGTGCAAACCAGTTTTCAACAAACTGTCAGGACAGTGTGACTTCGCTTTAAGATGTCAGCAGTTGAAATAATGATTAACAACAGATTAATTACAGCAAATATAAACATGTTGAGCCAGAAATTTTCCAAAGTGATTCAGATAACTGACATATGAAGCAATCATCCGGTGTTATTTTCTGGGGGGTTTTATTATTTTTATTTGCCAAAGATATGACACACCACCACTGTTTGATGATAAAACATAGATGAATAAAAAAAAGGTTTACGAACCAAATGTTTATTCTCTTTGAACTTGTTTTGGATACAAAAATAGTGCAGAACATTGCACTTTTATCATTATTAACCAGACACTGACTTTGAATAGTTCAAGGCAGTCTGTTATATTTTAGGCATTTTTTTGGCAGCACTACCAGGACTGGGGGTGCGTATATGTTAATGAGCAAAATCAGCCAGTCTTCATATCTTGCTTCAGGGTTTTTAAAAAGTCATTTATCCAGATTTAAAAAGTAAGGCTAGTTCAGAATATATTAAAATGTCATCCAAAAATGTAGATTCTTTTATTGATTTATTTCAAAATGTGAAAATTGGGTTTCTTATTCATTCACAATAGATAGTCTGACACATGCTAAGTAAGCATGTATTTTTACAACTGTATTGCAGCTAATGAATGACCCAAAAATAAGGTTCAGAGAATTTTTTTATGTCCATCTGACTAAATAATAAAAAAAAAAAATCTATGTACACCCTCCTAGAAGGATGAGCCACAAAACTTAATTTTGAAAGAAACTGAAGATTTCATGTGTAAGGGATACAAATTGTCAGTAAAGGGGGATAAAACAGCCTTAGGAAGATTTTGAAGTGAAGCCTAGGCTCAGGCTGGTGTTTGTCCTGCATGCCGGTATTAGGTATAGAATTCTTTTCTGTTGCACCTCTATCTGTACTGTTGAGCACATGGACATAAAGCCTATCAGGGGGACATTACTGTGTCTTATTTTTATGAAGAATTAAATATAATAATAATAATAATAATTAAAAACTAAGTTGTGGATGTTTATTTGCTGTAAACCCTACCCCATAAAACAAATCTAATGCATTGTCTAATGACTCTTTACAAAGAGCGAGTTTTGCTTTTGAATTACACTTCTGAAACTTTCAATGGTTTTCTATCTCACTGGCAAAATAAGATCAGCAAATATACCTGCAATTACTAGAAAGATGTGTATGTGTAAGTTTTATGCAACTTTGATACAAGACAAACTCACTGGAACAAGCAATTGTCAATCTCAATGAACAATCTTAAGGTCTAACAACAGAATTAAAAACAGTTTTATGGGATTTTGGTTTTTAACTTGTAATATTAACCTTATGATGATGATGTTGTCAATGTTAACTCTTTAAAAGGATAATAATTGGAAAAGACGTTCAGACTTTGAGTTGAGTTGTTTCCTCATTGTTGGTTAGAATGAGGAACAGTAAAAGTCCCTGCAAAGATTTTTTACTAATTGGCAACCTATGATTAACTGAATTTGACTGTGTTTACTACATTGGATCTAAGTGGATGCATTTATGACTTTACTGCATAAAAGCATTTGAATCAGTAGGATTCTGGACCAAATTCATTTAAAACATTTATTTGCATGATTTCCAAACCCTGTGTTCTCTTCACTTTTTCAATCCTAAAATTAAATTGCAAGGAAACCACTCAGGGAAAATAAAGTCTGATTTTAATCAGAGAAATTCTAAATATACAAAATAGGTGATTTCAAATATTTGAGTATGTTTGGCATTCTTGTGTATACCTTTTTTTTGTCAGATTACATCCAAATGTGTCTTACTTGGACTTGTATTTGTTAAACCATCATGAAATTTTTACCAAAAGCAAATTTGAAGATAAATTATTTTTGATATTTTCCAAAATAATGTTTTTTATGGCCTCCCTAAGTCAATATTTTGCATAACTACCTTTATGTAGTAATATCTTAATCAAATGTCAGGCTTTACCCCTTTGGATGGAGAACCTCTGTTCTCTGAAGTAAACTATTCTAATGTAGCCAAACTCTTACAGATTTTCTTCCAGGAATATGCTCCATTAAGCTACCTCCATTTTCCTATCAATTTTTATCTGGTTTGCCTTCCATGATGAAGAAAACCCACTCTAAAAACAGACAGTTTTGTGGATAGAACACTTAATAGCCATTCTGTCCACCTGAGACTCCAATGTGTTTGTCAACCTTTGTAGCGTGTCAGTTGTGTCATACTCCTTTTCAGATGATGAGCTGAACAATGCTCTGTAAGATATACTTTTTTATTTTTTTATTTACTTATGTACTTATTTTTATTTATGGGTTATGAGATTAGCATTTCCTTTATACAATATAGCAGTGCTTTGTGTTTTAGTAAATGAAATCCCAATAACATACATTAAAATTTGTGGTTCGAAAAAGTGAAAAAAAAAAAAACAGAAAAAAACCCCCCCTCCATCCTTTTGAAAACTCCTGCCTTGCTCTCTCTCCTTTGAATGGAATGCTATAAAACAGTGCCGAATGAAAGAGATGGTGCAGGAGAACAGCAGCAGTCCATGTTAGGATGCACAGTGCTGAGCAGGGAGGAGACATGGCCCTGCTTCCCTGTCAGGAGGTCGCTGCCAGGGTTGGCTCGCTCCACCACAGGAAGCCCTCGCTGCTTCTGAAACTTGGCAGGAGTGGAGATACAAGATGGAACAGCCCCACAGGGACATTTTTGTGATAAATGGATAAAGCTGGATAATGTTATGCACACAGCTATTGGCGTATGTATGAGTCCAAATCCATAATCAGACGGTAGTGGTGTTTCGTTTATTTTGTTAACACCACTTTGCGGCAAGAGATTGTCCTTAAGTTATTTATTTCATTTTTAAGAAATAAAAACATTTAAAGAAAAATTTGTAGAATTAGAGCGCAAGCACAGTTCATAAAAGCATCAATAATTATATATAAATCTTCCTGTTCCCTCCTTGCCGTTTGATAAAAGCAGCTTAACTCTGATGTTAAAACAGGGTCTGGGATAATTTTTCCTTAAAGAACACATCACATTTGGTTCATGCCGCATAGCTGAGCATCAAAACACGACTTGGCATCTTCAAAGTACAACTTACAGTCCCCCACCCTCATCCCTCACAGGTTTCCTCTTCTGCCTCTCACAGGTGATGATGAAATCTAAAACCTACAACCGGGAGAGCTTGCTTCCTCGACCTGCAAAGAAAAAATAGAAGACAATGACTATTTCTGCTGGAAACATATATGGTGACAGTTCACACTTTGTAAGTCTGAGGCGGATTAGGCGGAAATGTTAAAGCTTCCCAGTCCTAAATAGGCTTAAAAAATACAAATCAGTTTCCGGGGAAAGTGGAAACATCCATGCATTCTGCACAGACCGGAGAGGGATTTTTCTGTTTTTAAATATGTCATGCAAAGAGGTTTTTTGAAGTGGACTCTTGAAAAAAAAAGGAGAAAAAAAAGAAAAAGCAGTGATATGGAAAGAAGATGGAAAACCCATGTGCTGTGTGATTTCTTAAGAGCTGGATAAAAGTGGGTCAACCAGCTGCCAAGAGCAGCACTGGGGTGAATATAATTAAGTCCAAAAAAAAAAAAAAAAAACCTTTTGTTTTTATAAATTTATTTTTATATACAGACATTCAGAATAGGTTTAACAAATAATAAAAGGAATAAAAGGGTTAAAATAAAGTTATATTTTATTGAACCAGTAAAATATCTGGAAATATAAGAAAGACAGACTCTGAAATTTGACTACATATTTGGTGGTGAAAATCCCCGTATTAAGAAATGCTTTTTGAGAAACATCACCCTGAATAATTGCAATGAAATCAAGGTATAAACATTTACTCCATATTTACAATTAAAGGAAGTTTCTTCTCCATAAACAATAATACATTCTCAACAGTCTAATCATATCACCGCCTTAGATTCTGTAAAGTATGTTGAACTATAAGTTCAATGTATCTTATATCCTTTTTGAAATTGTAAATTATTTTGTTTGATTTCCTTAGGTTTCAGATAAAATGGTGACAAAAGAAAAAAAATGACAGTTGCATAGATTTCTGATATAAATTAGTATTTTGGCGAGGTAATAATAAAGGAACCTCTTTAATATAATTGATAATTGATTGTTGGAGTTCTATACATAAAGGCAGGATAAACATTATACAAGGATTTGATTACTGAAGAATATCCACTAATTTGAAGAAAATCTGCAAAAACAATGGTCTTGTTGCTGATGATAATGGTAATATTTAAACAACTGCAAATGTCATTTTGTATTTTATTTGTATTTATTAATTTCATTTATTAGTTTATTTCAGCCTTTGATGGGTTGATGGATGGGTGTATGCGTAATGTTATAAAATAGTATTTTTAATGAAAATTGAAATGACACAAGACAGGTCCTGTATCAAGACAGGAGCTAAACGGTTTCTAATTAAATCAAATCAAATTTAAACTTTAATATATTGAGCTGATCACTGTGTTTATTTTTAATTATTCATCAGTGTCATGGGACATAGACACATTTTTCTCATTACCTACACTTTAAATCAATTAAAAAGTATTTACAAAAAGAACATGTCAGTAATTTAGGACAGATGTGTGCTGATCTTCATAAGTCTAAGGCTCACAGTAAGGAAGATGACCAGAGACTAAAGTAAAGAGAGCCATCATGACACTACAACATTAAAACAACTTTACACATACCAATATGTAAATATTGGTAAGTAATTTTGTTCGGGACTATTATAACAAATATAATCTGGTTGAGTTCTTGAATGCTGATAGGTCTTTGACTGGTTCTTTTGAAAGATGAGATAAATACTGAAATTTTAGGTTTCATCTAGCCTGGCAAACTAGCCCCAACCGCCAGTTGCCAAAATCTATTTTTCTTGCGAGTGCTCTAGCCTCGATCAATGCCACAGGCCCTAGAACTGGCGGGCCAATCACAAAGCAGAGAGGTGTTTTGAATTTTTGGATGCAAAGTGGGGGGTGGTTTTGAGGGCGTGAAGACAATGCTGCACTACGCTGGAAAAAGCACAACAAGGAAGGTGGCAACAAGTATTGAACAGTTCACCTTCCACTCAGCTCTGGGATCAGTTTTGGAAGGATTAGACTTTGGGTTTTCATTGAAACGTGAGCAGGAAGAGGCTCTACTTTATTCATTTTTGGGAAGGATGTATTCGCCGTTTTACTGACAGGCTGTTAATTCACACTCCCCCACCAGCTTTCTGTCACGCTTACTACGTCACAATCAGTTGCGCTCATTGGTCAGAGCTTTGGCCAAAAGGCACAGACATGGTTGGAAAGACAACGGTTTGTTCTCATCAACAATCTTTTGATGTCTCAGCAGCTGGGCCAAACTAAATCACACATTTAATCTCACATTTACTCTCGTTTATCAGGCTAGGTATCATCAACTCAAGGTGGGTTTGGTGTGGGGAAAAAAATCTAAATATATAAAGAAGTGCCTGACAACAAATGTAAAGTATAAATGGTATGTAATGCTGTGGGCTCTTATCTCTTACAAAGGCCATAGAAGACTTATTAGGCTGTAAGGGATCATGACTTTTAGAAGAAAACCAAAAATGGATAATCATTGAGTCATTTAGCAGAGCAACAATCTAAATCAACACAGACATGGCTCATCAGAAACATCATTAACTTTCATCCACAAAACAGACTTAATATGGATGCAAGCTGACTTCCTCAGTTTTTCTGAGTTAAGATTATGCAAATTGCCAAACAAAAAACATACAAAATAACAGACTCCACTGACCCAAAACGACAGGTGGGTCATTGATTCACATCTGAGCTGGGCCTCTAGGTGCTTAAAAAAATCAGTGCTCCCACCTCAGGGTGCTCTAGTGCCATTGCCTCCGATTTAAGCATGTTTGTTGTTTGGCATGACTTTGATGAGTAAGAATTTGCACAGACAACTTTCTAACATAATCACCTAAGTCCCCAGAACTAAATCCAGTAGACTTGAGGTTGAACTGAAGAGATGAGAGACTTTATGTACTATTTTAGAGAGCTTTAACAACACCCCTCTAGCCCAATCCTCACATATGAGAAATGTTATAAAACAGGATTTATTTTTACCAGGGAATACATTTACTTCTTATATATATATATATATATATATATATATATATATATATATATATATATATATATATATATATATATATATATATATTCACCGTAAAAAAAACAAATAATTTCAAGGGTTTTTACTTATTTGTACAAAGGTTGCAAGATTAACATATGCAGGGTAAAAACACGTGGGGAAACTCTACTGCATTATGCAAGAAAGCCTGAGAAAAGTGTTTGCTTTACAACGTGACAGTGATACCAAGCTTTGGGATCACTGAGGAGAGATAAGAGTGAACGTCCTTGCATAGCTGTCCTAAATCCATTTGAAATTGTGTAGACTTAGATGTGAACAGCCAACTGAACCTTTTTTTCTTATGATGACTGGGAAAATGTGAGTAGAGATTTGAGTCAAAATAAACTCAAGGCTGGAATTAAAACTACCATTTTTCAGATAAAGTACAGCTAAAAAGTAAAAATTTAGTCTCAAATTATGAAATTGTAATCTTTTTTTTAACAAAGCACCTGATAAAGTATTTATATGCAAAGCTACTATATGTTAATTATTCTCTCTGCACAATACAAGGCAGGTAAACATGTGTGTTTGTTTGAAAGAGAGTTTCCTGAATGAAAGTATTTTTACCCACAATGGACACATTCTAACCACAACCAAGCTGTGTCTCACTGGTATCTTATGATAGACTAATATAAAGTAGGAACTGTGACATGTAGATTTTCACCTCATAGTTTTACCAAAACTTTTAACCTTCCCATGTCAACATTTTAGTGTGTATCTCTACAAACATAAATTCACCTGTGAAGTCAACAAATCAATGCAATCAGCTCAGTAAATAGATAGGTAAATTTTAACCAATCTGTCTGTTTGATTTGCAATAATTTATTCTGTAAAGTGCCTTGTTGTATATCGGCATTGCATAAATTTGAAAGTGGTTTAAAATGATAAAATCACATAAATTGTACAGGAAATGTATTTAACATTTAATGTGAAACAATTCATATTGTTGTGGGCAGCATATACTAAGCTTCTCAAAATTATCTAAGAGAGCATCTATCTAGGCTCTAAAAAATTACTGCCAAGGAATTATAGCTCAAGAGGGATTCAGATAGCTGCTTAAAGCAACTTTGAGTGAGGAGACAGAAAATATCATATTATGCTTGGATGACTCTTTTGCTTGGTGAGAGGCTGTTTTCTAAGTGCTTTGATTGCTTGATAAATGAAACAAAAAAGCAAACAAACAATATAACAAACGGAAAAAAAAACAACAACAAAAAAAGCCAATTTGTAATCAATGGACAAATTAACAGATTATAGAATTTAGACTAAGATAACTATAGAGGCCCATGGTAAAACCAGAAACAAGCCAGCAGAGCAAAAAAACCATCTCTTTCGGAGAGAAGAATGAACAATTTACTGCGAAATATGTTAGTTGAAGATATAAATGAATCCCTCAATGATCTAAATTCTATTTTTGAAATTTAAAATTTGCAAACTTTGTGTTTAAACTAGGCATATTTTGTGCACCAATCCCAGCAAGCAGCATTTTTCCACCCTTCCAAAATTAAATGTAAATAATTGGAGCATATACCTCAAATATTAATATCAAATCGGGAAATCAAGAGTTACATTTCACAAAGCAGTTTAAAAAAACTCAGATTTTAATCCTCAGCTCTGAATTTATTTAACTCTGAGTAGGTTCACTCAGAGTCATGCTCGTGTGTAACAGCTAGTGTTGCACTAGAGACTGACACGGGAGTGGATTTTCACTCCGTCCCGTCCCACTCCCACGGACAAAAAAAATTGTGTCCCGTCCCGATCCCGGGCAAGAGTAGAAATCTAAATCCTGTCCCGTCCCACTGAATGGTGAAATTACTCCCACTCCCATCCCGATCCCATTCAGAATGACTCCCGCTCCCGCACCACTCCCATTCTTGTTGTCTTCAATAAGATTTCTGCCAATACATTGAATCTGAATTTCTATGAAGGGTCAGTTAAGTTCCTGTTTCTAACTGTAGTAACTGTCAGTCCCTCCATTGTTTTTGAGCGCGGGTGAAAAACTCAAAGCGGAAAAACTGTTGGC